GCCAATTTCTCTCATGTTTTGGTCTTTTCCTACTAATTGGACCCCAGGGAGTTCAAAAAACTCAAAAAAACTAATTAAAATCTGTAAGTTTGAAAAGTAGCAATTTCTGGTCTGCACAATGGTAGTCAAAAAGTGCTCAAACACAAATAAATTTTTTGCTTGAAAAGTTACAGAGCTACAAGGCTGAAACTTGCTGGGAATGTCCAAATGGACTATCTCTACATGTGGGAAAAAACAGAACTCAAATATCTGCCATAGATCAAGAAATAAATTTGGTCAGTTTTCATGCATATAGGCCATAGGGACCAAATATGGCCAATGACCAACTTTGCCAAATATGCCAATTTCTCTCATGTTTTGGTCTTTTCCTACTAATTGGACCCCAGGGAGTTCAAAAAACTCAAAAAAACTAATTAAAATCTGTAAGTTTGAAAAGTAGCAATTTCTGGTCTGCACAATGGTAGTCAAAAAGTGCTCAAACACAAATAAATTTTTTGCTTGAAAAGTTACAGAGCTACAAGGCTGAAACTTGCTGGGAATGTCCAAATGGACTATCTCTACATGTTGGAAAAAACAGAACTCAAATATCTGCCATAGATCAAGAAATAATTTTGGTCAGTTTTCATGCATATAGGCCATAGGGACCAAATATGGCCAATGACCAACTTTGCCAAATATGCCAATTTCTCTCATGTTTTGGTCTTTTCCTACTAATTGGACCCCAGGGAGTTCAAAAAACTCAAAAAAACTAAATAAAATCTGTAAGTTTGAAAAGTAGCAATTTCTGGTCTGCACAATGGTAGTCAAAAAGTGCTCAAACACAAATAAATTTTTTGCTTGAAAAGTTACAGAGCTACAAGGCTGAAACTTGCTGGGAATGTCCAAATGGACTATCTCTACATGTTGGAAAAAACAGAACTCAAATATCTGCCATAGATCAAGAAATAAATTTGGTCAGTTTTCATGCATATAGGCCATAGGGACCAAATATGGCCAATGACCAACTTTGCCAAATATGCCAATTTCTCTCATGTTTTGGTCTTTTCCTACTAATTGGACCCCAGGGAGTTCAAAAAACTCAAAAAAACTAATTAAAATCTGTAAGTTTGAAAAGTAGCAATTTCTGGTCTGCACAATGGTAGTCAAAAAGTGCTCAAACACAAATAAATTTTTTGCTTGAAAAGTTACAGAGCTACAAGGCTGAAACTTGCTGGGAATGTCCAAATGGACTATCTCTACATGTTGGAAAAAACAGAACTCAAATATCTGCCATAGATCAAGAAATAAATTTGGTCAGTTTTCTTGCATATAGGCCATAGGGACCACATATGGCCAATGACCAACTTTGCCAAATATGCCAATTTCTCTCATGTTTTGTCTTTTCCTACTAATTGACCCCAGGGAGTTCAAA